TGTTTTAAGGCTGCTATTATCCTATATATTTCATACATATTACACTCTTTACAGCATTATGCAGTACTATAGGAGGGGACGGGGTTGGTGGGCATGGATCTAAAAATAGATAGTCTTCAATATTTGACGAAACAAATATATATTTTGTGAAAAGCAAAAGTTGTCAAAACTAGATATACAAAAACAGAAGTACCATTTATATGATTTGCGTCTCATAAGTATACTAGTTTTTATAACAAATCAGTGGTTGATTCGAGTTGAATTGAGGGCGTTGTCCATAGAGGGGATAAAGAACATGAAATTCAATTCTGAGAGAAATAACGCAACAGAATTCTGCTAGCATCAGCAATCAGTTCACGGCTACTGATTCCCTTTTTTTGGGTACCTTCAGATGATTGTATTACAAACTTTATTTCTCTTAGACATGCCGTAAAATCTGATTCGATATGAGAAAGACAAGGTTTTTTTTTAATGTGGATAGTGTAGTAAAACAGATGCGAATCAGGTAGATGTGCCTGTAGAAAAACAGGGCAAATGTGCAAAAGTTTCTGCCATCCAAATTTATTTAATGAATGTTTTAATATATTGTGCTTAACATTTTTGTATTTTGTGTAAACTATATTGAGGTTATCATTTTAATATATAGTGCTTAATATTTTAATTTTGTGTGACATTTTAAAATATTATGCCTAACATTTTTATTATACTTCAAGGTTATCATTTTTTTCGAGCCTGCGACTTTTGTCGCAGAAAGCTCGACATAGGGATAGTGATGCGGCGGCGTTAGCTTACTTCTTAAAAGCTTTATATTTTAGAAGGTAGAAAACCTGGATGCTTCATACTTTGTATATAGATGCCTTATGTTACGAAGTTTCTGTCTGTCACATGTCCATTGTCCTTGAACTCATTTTCATGGTTCAGTGTGTACTTGAAAAAAAGTTAAATATTTTTTGTAATGTTAATTTCTCCCTTATTATGAGTAATAGGATAACTATATTTCGTATGTGCGTACATTGTACCTTGCAGGGTCCTCATGCCCGTCAGACAGTTTTCACCTTACCTCGGCCTCATTTCATGGATCAGTGAACAAGGTTAAGTTTTGGTGGTCAAGTCCATATCTTAGTTACTATAAGCAATAGGACTAGTATATTTGGTGTATGGAAGGATTGTAAGGTGTACATTTGCAACTGGCAGGTGTCATCTGACCTTGACCTCATTTTCATGGTTCAGTGGTTATAGTTCCGTTTTTTGTTATGATCTGTTTTTCTTATATTGTATGCAATAGGTCTACAAATTTGGTGTATGGAAATATTTTAGGATGCTTATAATGAAGTTTTATTATGATTTGATATTATAAATTATTTAGTTTAACTTACATTCATTTTCTTCATACACAAAATTGTTTCTTCATTTCAGTTATTATGCATAATCCCTGACGTCTTTTCTAGTGATTATACATAATCCCTGAAAATTTCAGTGATTATATATAATCCCTAAACTAACCAGTTATTTTACATAATCCCTGAAAATTTCAGGGATTATGTAGAATCCCTGATTATACAAATTCACTGTAACAAATCAACCCCTAAGGTATCAATTCTTTAGATAAGGTAAAGATATATCAACCCCTAAGGTATCAATTCTTTAGATAAGGTAAAGATATATCACCCCCTTAAGTACTCATTATTTAAATAAAGTATACATATATCATCCCCTATTGTATCAGTTCATTAGATAAGGTATAGATATAGCCCCCCTATTGTATCAGTTCATTATATAAGGTATAGATATATCAACCCCTAAGGTACCAATTCTTTAGATAAGGTAAAGATGTATCACCCCTACGGTAACAATTCTTTAAATAAGGTGTAGATATATATCCCCCTCAGGTACCAATTCCTTAGATAGGGTATAGATATATCACCCCCTAAGGTACCAATTCATTAGCTAGGGTATAGATATATCAACCCCTAAGGTACCAATTCATTAGATTGGGTATAGATATATCAACCTCTAATGTACCAATTCTTTAGATAAGGTGTAGATATATCAACCCCTAATGTACCAATTCTTTAGATAGGGTAAAGATATATCAACCCCTAAGGTACCAATTCTTTAGATAAGGTAAAGATATATTAACCCCTAAGGTATCAATTCTTTAGATAAGGTGTAGATATATCAACCCCTAAGGTATCAATTCTTTAGATAAGGTAAAGATATATCAACCCCTAAGGTTTCAATTCTTTTAGATAAGGTGTAGATATATCAACCCCTAAGGTATCAATTCTGTAGATAAGGTCTAGATATATCAACCCCTAATGTACCAATTCTTTAGATAAGGTGTAGATATATCAACCCCTAAGGTATCAATTCTTTAGATAAGGTAAAGATATATCAACCCCTAAGGTATCAATTCTTTAGATAAGGTAAAGATATATCAACCCCTAAGGTATCAATTCTTTAGATAAGGTAAAGATATATCAACCCCTAAGGTATCAATTCTTTTAGATAAGGTGTAGATATATCAACCCCTAAGGTATCAATTCTTTAGATAAGGTAAAGATATATCAACCCCTAAGGTATCAATTCTTTAGATAAGGTCAAGATATATCAACCCCTAAGGTATCAATTCTTTAGATAAGGTAAAGATATATCAACCCCTAAGGTATCAATTCATTAGATAGGGTATAGATATATCACCCCCTAAGGTATCAATTCTTTAGATAAGGTAAAGATATATCAACCCCTAAGGTATCAATTCTTTAGATAAGGTAAAGATATATCAACCCCTAAGGTATCAATTCTTTAGATAAGGTTAAGATATATCAACGCCTAAAGTATCAATTCATTAGATAGGGTATAGATATATCACCACCTAAGGTATCAATTCTTTAGATAGGGTATAGATATATCAACACCTAAGGTTTCAATTCTTCAGATAAAGTATAGATATATCAACCCCTAAGGTATCAATTCTGTAGATAAGGTGTCAATATATCACCCGTAAGGTACCAATTCTTTCGATAAAGTATAGATATATCAACCCCTAAGGCATCAATTCTTTAGATAAGGTAAAGATATATCAACCCATTAAGGTATCAATTCATTTAGATAAGGTGTAGATATATCAACCCCTAAGGTATCAATTCTGTAGATAAGGTCTAGATATATCAACCCCTAATGTACCAATTCTTTAGATAAGGTGTAGATATATCAACCCCTAAGGTATCAATTCTTTAGATAAGGTAAAGATATATCAACCCCTAAGGTATCAATTCTTTAGATAAGGTAAAGATATATCAACCCCTAAGGTATCAATTCTTTAGATAAGGTAAAGATATATCAACCCCTAAGGTATCAATTCTTTTAGATAAAGTATAGATATATCAACACATAAGATATTAACTCTTTAGATAAGGTTTAAATTTATCAACCCCTAAGGTATCATTTATGTAGATATGGTATAAATCATAGATCAACCCCTAAGGTAACCATATCAATTATTTGAGTTGTCCTGATTTCTTTGGTTCAATATTATGGAAAATTAGTTCTAGTCGATGAATTCTATTTTTGATACGTTGTGCTTAAGTATTGTAGGGTTAAACATTCGCTGTTGCTTCCGAAAAAAAAATAAGTTATTTATCGCACCAATGGTATTCTATTAACAGCAGTTGATAAATTCCATGAACATATTTGCAGAGCAACCGTAAAAGTGAGTGTTTGATTACTAGCATTATAGAAGCATTAATCTGATTATATCAACATATAATAAGATAAATCTCCATGGACTCTAAATTACGTTACTCTAGAAATATTACGCATTGAAAACCATTCTAGGAATATCTTGTTGTTTGATATGATCATGATTGTGATGCAGGGATACATTTATTGTACGTTGATTTGTAATAGTTGTGAAAGAGATACTCGTTATTAATGAATACTTCTCTTTTATAAAGTAGTATTAATTGTTTGACCCGAAAGTTAAATAAATACATATATACTAAAAATAGCTCAAAACATATGCACAAAGTTAACAAGTTTATTGTTACGAGATAGACATTCATACCGCAGTTTCTTCGAAAGAATGAAAAGAAGCTAGTATTATCTGTTCCGCTATTTGCACAATTTCCATTCACTAAATAGATTGTGACTATGTTGTTGACATATATCTAATAGAACTTGAAATAGATCATTCCAGCGATAAAGTTAGGCCAGCTTCTTGTCTTCACTTTAACCCTTAAATTGACAGTTAGTGTTTGTTAAGAAAAAGATTTTACGACGAGAGGGACGGTTTTAATTTTCCCGCCGTGAACTTTTCAATTCAAGCTGCACTAGTCTATGAGATATATCAAAGTTGATACTATATTCCAGGGTTTTCGTTCACGATTTTTTTGATAGAGGGTTTCTGTTTACAAGAAAGCTATTGAATCAAATGTTCTCAATTGTAAAAATTAAAGTCATCTGTCAATTTTTTACGTACATGTGTCGTTTTCACAATCATGTCTTCCTTCCTTGTTTATACATAATGCGAACGGACTTTTTCCTTCCAATCAGCAACGGACGCCAGTTCATTTGTTATTTTTTATAAACAGGGTAATTGAAAACACACCAGCTTTCTCATAATAAATTGAGTTTTTTTCTCCTAAATTTGAAGAAGACGTATGAACAAATAAATGTAATGCCGCAAACCACATAATTTGACACAGAAATATAGAAACTGGTCAACACCAACAAAATGCACTATGCGCGGATACAAGACTTCTAATTTAATACTCTAAAGGCGAATTTTGTCTAAAGAAGTATCATAAGCGGTGTTCGTATCAAAACAGTTTGAAGGCCAAACAAATATCGAAACTACTGACCAACAAACAAGTTCAAAAAGGGTGTAAAATTTTACTACAGCGTGAAAGAGCATATAAAAACACTAAAAGTATAAGAAATCATACTACATGGTATTATAAATATAGACGTTATATAAACTGTTGCAATTGATAACTTACTTTTGAAGTATTTAAGCGGAACTGTGCTGTCAAATGTATCAAGGTCTACATATATGACTATGTATTCACCAGTATCTAGCAGTCCTCTGTCATATAAGTTGGTCATTAGATCAACAACAGCGTTAATATCTCCGAGCAACACATATACTGCAATAACAAAATAATTATGTCTGATTTTTTTCTAACCATTCTTATAGACACAATGCATCACTGAAATGATTTGTTTCCGTTGTAAGGATATTAACCGTAAAATGTTATATATCAAAAAGCTTATAAATCCTGAAAATATGTAAATCGTGGATTATTTTTGATGTATTTAAATGTCTTGTGTGTCCATATAATTGGTTTATCATTAGAACTGTCCCTTGTTCGTAACATTACGACCATCTTTAAGTTTAAAGACACTGTTGTCCGAGGAAGTCATAGAAGATTGGTTGATAGAGTTAAAAAATTTGAAAATGTTTTCACAGAATAAATTATCATAACAGCGAATTTACTTTGTCTGGAATTTCCTCGACGACATTTCTTCCCATGGTCTCATCGGCACAGTTATCTTTATTTAAATGAGATCAGTGGACTTGGTACTCGTAGTGTGAACATGCTCAACAAACTATTTTTTCTTTTCTGTAACAAACATTGAACTTTTTTGTTCCCTTTCATACAGCAGTATATTTATTTGTTAAAAGAGCGTTGAATTTATTGTCGATTGCATAGTAAATGCTATCACGTCGTTTTAAATTAATAGTAATAAAATTGAGAATGGAAATGGGGAATGTGTCAAAGAGACAACAACCCGACAAAAGATCAGAAAACATGTGTATTGAAAGGTACCGCCACAGTTCAGTGACCAGTTTATATACCAGGTATTTGTTAGCACTTGTCAGAACTTTGATGATTTAGATGAATCTTCCAAATATGTTTGATTGTTAACACAAGAAAACTTTCCTATTGTGGAAAAAAAATGGTAATTTTATTTATAGTTCTTTTGACTTAAGAAGAACATGTCTTGATACTGTTTTTTAGTATGTTTTTTGTTCGTTCGTTTGTTTGTTTGTTTGTTTGTATGTTTATTTTGTTTTGGCTCTTATTCTGACTGAGGCTTATGGTGATATTTATATTATATTGTAAAGTCTTATTGTTAACTCTATTACTTCAAGTTTTTTATCTGATTAACATGCTCTTTATGGGCCTTGTAATTTGGAAACATAGAAAATATTCTATACTGTGTAATCCTGCCGAAATGGCTTTGATCTTATTACTAACTGACCATGTGTAAACAAGACAGGAGTAATAAAAATGAAACCTTTGCTGAAGCAGTGCATGTTTTTTCACTGACCGGTTTAATTGGTTAACATTAAGTACAAACATCAAATGAATAAAACCCAATTATTCTTGAAGTTATACATGGTTTTTGTTTTCCCTTGGTTCGTTAGATACGTGTCATATTGCTGAACTGAATATCCCGCTAAGTTTTTGATGTTGTCTGTCTAATGATTAGGATACTGCTGCGGTAAACAAGATTAATAATTACTCTGTATTCACTAAATAGCTTTCTTTAAGTAAATGACTGTTTGTGTTTCTTTGTTTTAGAAGCTAAAAGCACTTAGTTGGTTTATTTTTGGATAATGATAGGTCATTTATCATACACATATCTAAATGATGGGTTGAAAAATGATTTTCCTTTCACTTATCGTTCTATTTTTGCCTGGTGAAGTTTGACTGAATTTAAATATGGCATTACATTGTTAGACGCATTAAAATAAATGCTATTTTCTATTGACACCAACATAAATAATGAAACGGAATGATGTGACATGGTCATTTAGATCTAAGATACATGGTCAATACATAAATCATGTTATCAGTAATCCAATTCTCCTTCCTCATGACTAATGTTGACATTTTAATACAATGAATGCAGTCAACAAAGTGAATCAGGAGATGGTGAGGAACGTTAGTCCGATAAAGCGCAGATTTATGAAGAAAAGGGTGGATTGTAATTGGTGCTTGTTTTGAAATATATTTCACTAAACGTTATTCATACATACTCATTTGGCAATGAAAAGGCAGAGTTATTCTGTTTTATAGGTTAATATCGTAATTGATAATCGTAAATATTGAATGAATCTGGTCTCAATGAACGTATAAAAGACACATTAAACAGCGAGTTTAAACATTCACATATGACGTTTTATGTTTCATGTACATAAATAGAGAGTAATCATTTAGACCAAGAGCTTAACATATTGCAAGAACACCTATTTATATGTTGATCAAAAGATGACGATTGCGTTTTGTGTTTTTTTTTTTTTTTTGGCTGTTACAAATGTAATCAAGTAGGCATATTTGACGCATTTGCCAATGTGACGCGGCAGGTATATTACATTACAAATGAAACATTTGGCGTGAAACCTTTAAATTTGGAAAAAAGTGAAATGAGAAGCCATTGTTAGTGATGTTTCCACTGAAATAACAGAAATAAATATAAGCAATAGTTTTCATGTATGATTCAGGTGGTACAATTTCTTCCCTAAGACAAATTGTAAAACTTTAAAAGAGGTTAATATTTCCTTTCTTTGAATTATTACTTTACATGTATGTTTCATAAGGATTCGTACTTTTGATTGGATGACAACAATCGTGAGCCATTCCTAAATTAGATTTTATTTCCCAATAAAATGCAACATTCATGACAGCACGTGTTTCCCGTAACAACAATGCATAGGAAAACAAACAAAAAAATTGATACAACACGTTGTAGCATAACAAATTGAATGCTTCTTTTTCTAATTTTATTGTGCTGCAAAAGCGTTGACCGAAGCACATTTTGTATCAAAGCGAAACTTAATTGCAAACAAAATTGTAAATGTAGCTTATCCAGGACGTTGGTAAATCCAGCAGGTGCGTCCAATTACTATGAAAGCCTTACTATCTGACGGTGCATAAAAGGGGAGTTGGTCATCTTAAAGAATTTTTTTTTTCAAATTTTGGTACATTTTTTAAGAAATGTACATACCATTTAAAAGATTACATATCAGTTTTTCTTTAACCCTCAATACAGTAGGATTTAATGTTTGCGTTATTAGGTATAATAATACATTTATCAATCCTTTACATGATAAACAGCCCAAAGTCTTAGATACGTCACATTAGTGGAACATAGTTCCAACATTTCTTATCATTCATATCTTTTAGAATAGCAAATTAGTGCTTTTGTTATCATTTTAGGGTGAACAACTAATGACACAGTGATCAGTTTGCAAAACATGTAGTTTTAGAATTGCCTTCTAAAGGTACGTTCAAGACGAAGAGGTTAGATGATATGGCAATTTTTCATCACTATCTTTGTTTAAATACTATACCTCTCGTATCAATAAAAGTCTTCTCAACAATTCCTGGAAATGGGTTGCCTGAGGTGAGGGGAAGATGAGGGTCTTTATATGACTGTTTATCATTGATAGTAATGTTATAAACCTTAGCCTGTTCCAACAGTTTCTTGGCAATAGTTTGTGGTTTGTGTGATAATCCCAAGACAAGGGTAAACCTTTTCCAGTTATAGTGTAGTAATAGTGAAATAATAGAATTAGTAACTTGAGTTGTTGGTGGAAAAGTCCGAACGAAAGTGGGATACTTCAATTTATCGGAAACTTCAAGGTCGGCACATTTCTGAAATGAAAAATAAAAAAATAATTACCGCCATTGCAAATTATGTATTTACACTTTACTGTATAATTAGCTGTAACGTTTACTACATAGAATGCATTTATAACGTGTTAAACAAACTAAGGCACATATATACTTTATGACTATAGACGTCATGTTAATGTTTATTTCGGTGAGTTATCGCTTTGTTACTGTTTCTTTTATTTTCAGAGATATCAAGAAACAATTCCAGAAACTTGCGTTATTAGGTATAATAATACATTTATCAATCCTTTACATGATAATTTTCAAGTATTGAATGTAGCCGAGGTATCAACTGCATGTAGTTTATTAAATTTCACATTTTTCCTAAACTAATGTGTTGATATTCAAATAAAATTCTCTAAATGTGGCAATAACATTAATAAAACTATGAAAGAAAACCCTGTTTTATAGAATCTCTTTAAAAAATATTGAACTACACAGGTTCATTCTCTGTTTCCCATGATACTTTTATTAGGAAAATTAATAAATTACAGATTATTCTTTTAACTTTACTTTCAATTTTTTATTTCCATCAAAGCCCAATCTTAATTAGCTATGCATTTTCCGACAACAATAAACAGTTCAACGATCATCTGCATCTTATATATTGCATTGAACTGTCGTTATAATACAATAAGAAAGTCAGCTTCCTGCCTTGGCTAAATCATACATGTATTGAACTGTCGTTATAATACAATAAGAAAGTCAGCTTCCTGCCTTGGCTAAATCATACATGTATTGAACTGTCATTATAATACAATAAGAAAGTCAGCTTCCTGCCTTGGCTAAATCATGCACGTATTGAACTGTCGTTATAGTACAATAAGAAAGTCAGCTTCCTGCCTTGGCCAAAGCATGCATGTATTGAACTGTCGTTATAATACAATAAGAAAGTCAGCTTCCTGCCTTGGCTAAATCATGCATGTATTGAACTGTCGTTATAGTACAATAAGAAAGTCAGCTTCCTGCCTTGGCTAAAGCATGCATGTATTGAACTGTCGTTATAATACAATAAGAAAGTCAGCTTCCTGCCTTGGCTAAACATGCATGTATTGAACTGTCGTTATAATGCAATAAGGAAGTCAGCTTCCTGCCTTGGCTAAAGCATGCATGTATTTAACTGTCGTTATAATACAATAAGAAAGTCACCTTCCTGCCTTGGCTAAATCATGCATGTATTGAACTGTCGTTATAGTACAATAAGAAAGTCAGCTTCCTGCATGCCTTGGCTAAATCAGGCATGTATTGAACTGTCGTTATAATACAATAAGAAAGTCAGCTTCCTGCCTTGGCTAAAGCATGCATGTATTGAACTGTCGTTATAATACAATACGAAAGTCAGCTTCCTGCCTTGGCTAAATCATGCATGTATTAAACTGTCGTTATAGTACAGTAAGAAAGTCAGCTTCCTGCCTTGGCTAAAGCATGCATGTATTGAACTGTCGTTATAATACAATGTCGTTATAGTACAATAAGAAAGTCACCTTCCTGCCTGGGCTAAATTATACATGTATTGAACTGTCGTTATAGTACAATAAGAAAGTCACCTTCCTGCCTGGGCTAAATCATGCATGTATTGAACTGTCGTTATAGTACAATAAGAAAGTCACCTTCCTGCCTGGGCTAAATCATGCATGTATTGAACTGTCGTTATAGTACAATAAGAAAGTCACCTTCCTGCCTGGGCTAAATCATGCATGTATTGAACTGTCGTTATAGTACAATAAGAAAGTCACCTTCCTGCCTGGGCTAAATCATGCATGAATTGAACTGTCGTTATAGTACAATAAGAAAGTCACCTTCCTGTCTTGGCTAAATCATGCATGTATTGAACTGTCGTTATAGTACAATAAGAAAGTCACCTTCCTGCCTTGGCTAAATCATGCATGTATTGAACTGTCGTTATAGTACAATAAGAAAGTCACCTTCCTGTCTGGGCTAAATCATGCATGTATTGAACTGTCGTTATAGTACAATAAGAAAGTCACCTTCCTGTCTGGGCTAAATCATGCATGTATTGAACTGTCGTTATAGTACAATAAGAAAGTCACCTTCCTGTCTGGGCTAAATCATACATGTATTGAACTGTCGTTATAGTACAATAAGAAAGTCACCTTCCTGCCTTGGCTAAATCATACATGTATTGAACTGTCGTTAAAGTACAATAAGAAAGTCACCTTCCTGCCTTGGCTAAATCATGCATGTATTGAACTGTCGTTATAGTACAATAAGAAATTTTCTTCCTGTCTTGGCTAAATCATGCACGTATTGAACTGTCGTTATAGTACAATAAGAAAGTCACCTTCCTGCCTTGGCTAAATTATATATGTATTGAACTGTCGTTATAGTACAATAAGAAAGTCACCTTCCTGCCTTGGCTAAATCATGCATGTATTGAACTGTCGTTATAGTACGTTAAGAAAGTCACCTTCCTGCCTTGGCTAAATCATGCATGTATTGAACTGTCGTTATAGTACAATAAGAAAGTCACCTTCCTGCCTTGGCTAAATCATGCATGTATTGAACTGTCGTTATAGTACAATAAGAAAGTCACCTTCCTGTCTGGGCTAAATCATGCACGTATTGAACTGTCGTTATAGTACAATAAGAAAGTCACCTTCCTGCCTTGGCTAAATCATGCATGTATTGAACTGTCGTTATAGTACAATAAGAAAGTCACCTTCCTGTCTGTCATGATACACTTTGACAAACATAGAAGAGCAATTTGATTAAATTTTGATGCTCATTTTGCCATCTTAAAGAGCATGGAGATACATGCAGATAATACCGTGTTAACATTTATTAAGGAATTATTCTTCATGTCAGAACTACCAAGACCAACATTATACGGAATTTTATAGTTTTTGTAACTAATATTCCGGCAAAACAATGATCTGATACGGGTTATGTTCTTACATCGTATATTCCATGATGGTATGATACTAAACCCCGAACGGGAGGGATTGCGCTTGATTTTCATATGATGAAGAAATAATCTTTCAACCAGTTTAATTGAGGTCTGGAGCTGGCATGTCAGTAATTGCTAGTAGTCCTTTGTTAATTTTTAGTTTTTATTGTCATTTTGCTTAGTTTCTTCTGTTACCTATTTTAACATCGGACTCGGACTTCTTTTAAACTGAATTCCACTGGGCATATTGCTGTGTGTTTGTTTATTCCACATTGGGTAGAGGTATAGGGGAAGGGTTGAGATCTCCAAAAACATGTTTAACCCCGCCGAAATTTTGCGCCTATCCGAAGTCAGGAAACTTTGGCCTTTGTATGTTTTTTTTTAAATTTTGGTTCATTTATATGTTTCGGAGTTAAGTGTGACGTCCATTTTCGCTGAACTAGTATACATTATTGTTTAGAGGCAAGCTGAAGCCTGTGCGGGTGCGGGATTTTCAAGGTGTCCTTGAGCTGTTTTATGCTCTTTGGTTGGGTTGTTGTCTCATTGACGCATTCCCCGTTTCCATTCTCAATTTTATCAGTAACGCGCACACGGATCAGATGGTCAAAGTTTTCGAGCTGAAAGTCATCAATGCAAATGCAATATCATTTGTATACAAGACACATAGACAAAGCCAGAGAGTCTCACACAGAGTCAACGTACATAAAAAGGAATGCACGCATAAAGTACGTGTTTTCGTATAAGGAGCCACACGATGTACTACAATACCCTGTAAATCATAAATAAGTTACATAAAATATCTGATTCAAAATTTATTATATGTTTGTATACCTGTAACTGTAAAAAAGTCAAGAACAAATATTATATCACAAAACGGAATAAATACCATAAATAACTTGAAAGCCTAACTTTGTACTTTTGTCATTTAGTGTATACATTAAACCTTTGTTTTTGAAATCATTTATCAGTTAGAAAAATAGACAGTTAAGTAAAACAGAGTGGTTAATTTGACATGAACGTTGTCATATATAATAATGATTATGAAAACGTCTTTTTCAGTTTAAACCATATAAGTTTGCTTATTCCACTGGTTTATTTTTATTGTAATTGAAATATTACCATATACATTGTAGTTATAATCTTAAGGAAGTTCATAAAAACGACTAATATCCAAAATCTTAAATTATGCATCATTTTTTTTTGTCTATTCTATTGTGTACAATTGTTCTGCACTTTTACTTGATAAACGTACAGAGGTAAATAAAACGTAGACTATGTAGACGGAAGGCACATGCACGCGTTACATACGACGCGCACGTACACTGTACACTGTGAACACACACAGGTCTCAAGATACATACATGGGCTACTCACATGCATCACACGATACACGCTATATTATAGCATGGGACACGACATTACATACAGCAAACGGTTCGCGATTAGTTAAGAATACCATGGGTTTCATTAACTATATATCTGTTCCAAGAACACAATGAGTGATTAAGGGGAAACATTGTTGTCACATTTATGCATGCATAATCTTAAGTTCTGTATAAAAGGATATAAGAATATTATGATTTTTGCATTAATAGAATTTAATTTGACTCATCAAGAGTCTGAGATAAACCGTATGTATATATATCATTCATTCCTATTCCACAGGAATGAAGTAACAATGAAATAATGAAATTGCCATTAGCCCATTATTTAAAAAAACAAAAAAATATATTGTATTATTTTGAACCTATTTTGCTTGACTGAATTGATTATGTTGAGCAATCTCTTTAAGATATGATGTTAAAGCCGGAAATCCTTATTTGTTCATCGTTATATGAAGTATAGATTAATTGGTTGAGTGTAGTTTGCTTAACTTCCAGTTGCAAATATTCCATGCAACAACCCCATGGGCTACTAGGAGAAAGGAAATTAAGACAAACATAATGTCCATAAAACGCTACGCTGAAAATTATAGAGCACAACATTCCCGATAAAAAAAATAAGACTTATTAATACCCGAGAATATATTTGGTCAACGATAATCTGACAATACGAAAAATCATGATAAAAA